TCGCGGAGAACCTAACGGGTAACCGGGGCTCCGGCTCGACGTGCAGGAGAAGGAACGGGGTGGTTTTTAGTCAGTAAGAGTCTGACACTCCCTCCCGCCTCACCCAGGTGTGAGCAGCCATTCGATGATTTTCCCCCCTTAAAAAAAAAAGTATAAAAATCCACAATCGATATCGAAGCCAGAAATGGTTTTTAACCGACTTCAAAAAAGGAGGAGGTTCTCAATTCGACCGTATATGTTTTTTTAGAATTGTTGTCTTTTTATCTGTATGTATGTCCGGATTAAACTCAAAAAGTACTGCATGGATTTACTTAAAATTTTGCATGAATATTACTAGCAGGTCGGGTCAACATATAGGCTACATATTATTATATACGCTATCACATACGGGAGAGCTGTGAAGCACTATTCCTCGCGGTTGAAGTCGCGAGTTTGTATTAAGAGAAATATTTTAAGATTCAACTTACCTTATTATATTGTAATGTTTCCCATTGTTGTTTCGAATAAGGAAAAATAAGAGTAACCAGTTGTTCAGCGATATTATTCATCGATTGACCTTGAAAAGAATACTTAGGTTTAGGTATCAGTCTGAATAGTTAGATACTTCTTAGAAATAACTATTTTACGCATGACTTGACTAGCCTTTATGGTCCAGTTGCTTTAAGACCTGTCAGTATGGATCATGAGGTTTTTTATAGCATAAGCCGGTAAACGAGCAAACGGATCATCTGATAGTAGCCCATGGACACGTAGAAAACCAGAGATCTACGCGGGCTTCTCAGGGATTCGATTTTCGACAACCTCAGATGGCGAAATAACGCTTTTTTTTGAGGGGGAAAATCATCCAATGACTTCTCCCGCCCGGGTCAGGGCGAGAGGGAGTGTGACTCTTACTGACTAAAAACCACCCCTTTCCTACTCTTGCACTTCAAGCCAAAGCCCCGGTAACCCATTAGATACTCCGCGGCTCCGTATAGGCATCAGCCCTATAAGGCCCCATCTCTGGTGGTCTGATGGCTTTTTGAGGCGTGCGCGGAACGCTCGGCGCCTCTCGACGCTCGGGCCTGGTTATGGTCGGGCAAAATAACGCTAGCATCGTTATTTTACGTCGATATCCTGCTCGGCCGCGGTATCACTCCGGTCGATCCGGTCCATTCGTGCTGAAGCACGGCTCTCCCACGTGTAGAATATCAGATTGAACATTAAACAAGTCAATGCACGTGTTACGAAATCATATTACCATTATTATGGTTATGACAGATAACAATAACAGCGTAATGATAGAAATCATCATTGTATTATTATTACGTAATACACATTATTATAATCGCATCGATGGAACTTTTTGTAAACACAATTATCTAAAAAAATGTATCTGTTGATGGTGTGGTTATAGTAGGGGAGCCCATGAAGGGATTTCGGTAGTTACTCGAGCGCGTCAGATTAACATATGGGGAAAACCTAGTGTCATGTTGAATATACCCAACATATATCCGATCTGATTAGAAGGGGACTGAAAATTAAAAAAAAAAGTCTGACTAAATAAAGTCAGTTTCGTCAGATTAAGGGAAGGTAGGTCAATGCCGTGCTAAAGGAAGTGCGTTTAAAAAATCTGCCCATTCCAACTTGATTTGCAAGAGTGGGGGGATTTTGAAGGGTTCTCGTTTGTACTCTCCAGAACATTCAACCCCACCATGCAAACTGGCAGATTAAGAGTTTTTTATTATTAAATACACATGGAGCATGTACATTATCAATATCTGACACGCTCGACCACTAGAACAAAAGTTACGCTTAACAATTTCAAAGATCTGTAGATTCCCCCTTCCCCCACTGGTGGAAGAAATTGTCACTAAACCATTTCTTCTTTCTATCAGCATATCTTCAAAATTCAGTAGGTCCCAAGGACGCTCAAGTAAATCCCAATTTAGCATCATGGGCTCCCCTACTATTACGGTAGCACTCGAAAAGCGGATGAACATATGCGGTAGCGTTTTGAGAGATAAAATAAAATATAACATCACATCTTCTTATCCCCGAAGGGGTAGGCAAAGGCGCACATTACGGCACTTAATGCCACTATACCATGTAAGCAAGTGCGGCTGCCGAGCAAGGGGTCTCGAGTTCGAGTACCGGGTCGGGCAAATTATTACCGATTTTTAAAAAAGTCCCTGTAGTAGCACCGAGTCTGGAATTGTGCCCTATATACGGCAATAGGCTCACCCCCTATTACATGAGACTCATTACACAAATAGTAAAAAGTGGATATCACATTGTACAGTGGCATTAAGTGCCATAATGTGCACCTTTGCCTTCCCCTTAGGGGATAAAAGGCGGGATGTTTAGTTATGTTTGTTTTATGATTAAATATTTCAAAAAATTTTAATGATGTATGAAAATAAATAAATAATACTTGATTATAGCAATACCCTCTCACGTAGAGGAGACCCATCATAGTCCAGCAATGTGATCTCAAAGGCGATTGATGATAATGAAGACTCATTACCTATATGGACAATAAATCGTTTGAAATCGTCAGAACAATAACAGCTAAGAAGAATATAACTTCTGTTGACGTGAAAGTTCACCTAAATTCAATTATTGACAAACAACTGCAATACTGACAGTCTTCTGGGAATGGTCCCCGATGACAGTGACACAGACGAGTATTTTTTTAGTGATGGATTCCTTTTTATAATGGGATAAGCTAGGATCTAGAAAAGCCCGCAATACTAACAGGAATGGTTTTTAGTTTATTTTCCTTAATTACAGTTCACCATGCGTTGTGTTTCGTCGTGTGAGCGAGGTAACCGGAGGCCCAATTACCCTCCCTTTCCCCAATCTCCCCGATCCCTGAATCCCTATCGATCCTCAAACTCCTAATCCCCAAAAAGCCGGTAACGCACTTGTAACGCCTCTGGTGTTTCAGGTGTTCATGGGCGACGCCGATTGCTTACCATCAGGTGATCCGTCTGCTCGTTTACCGGCTTATTCCATAACAAAAAACCATCAAACGCATGCGAAAGACGGCAATCCGCAATAGGGTTTTTTTCTTAAGGGGGGAAAATCATCGATTGACTGCTCCCGCCTG